ACAGGGCTGATCAGGAGGAGCACTGAAGGCCTCCGGGAGAGCCTGGATGATCCTCCCCTTCTCTGAGTTCCCAGGAGCTCAGATTCTGCTGGCTGAGCCCTCCACTTGCAGCCTCTTTTGGGGGAGCTCATAAATAATGACTCAGAGGAGAAATGATTTAATATTACAAAACTTTTTCAAGATCAAGTCAAGGTGCCAGCATATTCAAAAACTGTCAGATATGTCAGGGTAGGTGCTTTGTGAGGGATGTGCTTTGTACCTTTGATGTGACAAACATACTGCAGTAAATTCTCAAACATGCACTTGCTACTGCCTTTTCCAAAGCCCTGCCATCAAGCCGTCACCTTTAGATCAGTCATGCTCAGTGAAGAGATGCAAAAAGATCTTTTGCTAGAAATGTTTTTCCTGGTTCATTGGATTGTTTTCAATGGCAGTGATGTGCAGAATGTTCCCCAGATTTGGGGAGATGGCAGTGCCTGTATTTCATAGCACAGCTGGACATAAAACTTTTCACATCAGTGTGTTCCTCTTTTGGAACGACTATTTCATTCCAAAAGAGAGGAAACGAAATATTTGTGAGGCCCCGCTTTTGTTATGGACCATTTTCTGCTGCAGGCTGAATAACCCATTCTTCAAAGAATCCCACAGATGAAAAACTGAGGCAGAGAGAGAATGAGTGGATTTCCTATAGATGTAAGGAATAAATTCAGAAAAAGTGCAAGGAGATGAATAGTGCAAGGAGTGTTCTAACCACTGAACTGTCCTTGTCTCCCATGTGCACTACAGAATACACAGAATATTTATCTTTTAATGGATAGCTTTTTGGAATACGTATCTGTACAAAGGCTGATGTTGGGTTAATGATGAATCTTACAAAACGAAGCAGGAAAGACATTAATTTTGATATGGCAGGAAAGTACTTTCCTAATGAGGTAGTAATTAAATAAGAAGGATAGTTATTAAAAGAAATGGCAAATTTAGTGTTCTCTAGCCCTCCTATCTGAGCAGTTCTAGCCATGGTTCTTGGTAAGAAAAAAGAATATTTCTGTCAAGCCTGAAGTACCACCAGAAAAATATAAAAGGAAAAATGTGTCATAAGAATCATAAAAATATTAAATAATGTCAAATAAATTAAATCCATTTCTAGAAGAGAATAATCAAGACTGAGAAAAGGTACCCAGAAAGCTAGATGACTTTTCTATTTTCTTAATTTGGGTAATTATACTAAAACTGAGAACAAGTATTTCTCCAGTAGCAAAAAACACCCACAAACCTCAGCCAGCAAAAATGCTGCTCTGAGAATGAAACCTGAGTGAAGGTTAAAGGCTTGAGTCTGCCATTAGGAGAGTGCTGCTCTTCTCCCAAGGTCATTCCTTACATATGGAGAAGTAATTTTCATTCTGGTCTCCTCATTGTACAAAGTCAACGCTTACCTTGATTTCAACAGTGCTATATTTGGCAAAGTACTAATATAATTGTGTTTGGTCCCAGTCATGTCCTGTTTGAATGTTAAACTCCTCTTAAGACCAAGCCATTGTGTGGTGCCTCTTGTAGCTTAGACAATGTATAAAATGGAGAGCAGTGCAGACCCTCTGGGGCAATCCCTCCAGGGAAACCTGTGCTGCCAGTGTCCACACTATGTGTTTTCTGGGTGTTTTACTTCACACCAGCTTTTGTCTGGACCTCTACTGCCATGGGCTGAAAGCACTCTTTTTGGGTGTAGTTTCATCCAAAAAAGATGCAGTTAATGCAGTCCCAGGCTGCACCATAGTGTGATCCAAATACAGCACATAGGCACATAGAGACAAATCACACTGTGCATCTGCCCCTCTGTAAACTCTCAGCTGCTGATGCCCCCTTGATCCCCCCTGATGGAACATTCATCATGTTCCAGCCACCAGCTTCTCTGTGCACATTTCATTGCATCACACTGAGGACTTCTCCCTCTGTTAAGGCCTCTTAGTTGGACAGAAATAACCTGGCAGTCTGACTCATGTCACCTGAACTGAAACCACCCACTATCTCCTTGCTAATAAGTACAACTTGCAAAGAGGAAAAATGTGATTGTACAGCCTCAGATGAGAGATTGTGCAGCCCAAGGACCTCTACATTTCTCATTAGCCATTAATGGTGCCTGGGAGAGACTTTAATAATAAGGCAAAGATGTGGTGTTACATCCCCAAAATAATTTCTTAGCTTACAAAAAATTCACAACTCAAGGATTTGCTAAGCCAGAGGCTTTGTCATTATATCTAATAGCCTTTGATATGTCTCCTTCGTTTGTGAATTATTTAGCTACTTTTTAGATTAATGTTAATTTTAGGATCTAGCGTTCTGCAGGAGAGAATTTGATATTGACTTCGTGCTGCACAGTTTATTACCAAAAGAATGAGAATGCTAATAAGAGGAGATCAGATGCTGTCTGAGCCCCCATGCTGCCTCTGTTCACATTAATCCTGGAGTCAGGATTTCCTAGCGCATGTGGTGCAGGGTCACTGTTCCAAAGTTAAGAGTGCCAGAGGCTGCAGAGCCAAGCTGCCCCTTGAGCTGGGGCTCTGCTCCACTCTCTGTGGGTTTTTTGGTGTGAATGGGAAACTGCCCAAAGCACGGGATGCAGAGTCAAATTGTACCTTCTCTGGCTTTTTTCAAGCCAGAAAGGCTTGACCCACAAGATGCTTGGGTATGATCATATTTGTGTGAGAACCAGTATGCTGAATCAAGAGTGTTCAGCTATTGTGGGAACCAGCCAGAAAGAACTTCACTCTCCTCTCAACTCCTTCCATTCTAGGCCTGAGATTTTATCAGACTTTATTTGTAATCCCACTTGATTTCTCAAATAAACAGTGAAATGCAAACAGTTGGCCAGAGGGAAAACCTTCCAGTTACTGAAAGGGAAAAAAGAACAGAATATCCAAATGACTCATGGCTCTGTGGGTGAAGTAGTGGCTGCATGTCACAGCCTGGGATGTGGGTTTGTGGTCTGATGCCACATGGAGCGGATGCGCTTAGGTTGTGACGTTAGTGTAAATGGCTTTGGTAGGAGCTCTCCTGTGACTTACCAGAGACAAGTTGCTTGTTAAGATACCAAAGACTGCTCAGTGGCAATTAGCAAGATAGGAAGGACATACACCAGGTGCAGCCAAACCCTCCTCTGGACACCAGCTGGGGTGAATATGACAAAACCCTTCTGCCGCTGGAAGCTGGAAGAGGTAGATCCTGAAGGAAGAGTTGGAGATGGCTGTGGCTGAAGGAACTCTGGGAACACAGTTTCTGAGGGCTGAAGCCATATCACTGTGAGGATCCTGGTGCCTGTGAAGTTTTGCTTTCCTGGGGCAGGTTATCCAAAGACCTTCTGGGTGATCATGCTCTGATGTTTGATGCTCTGATGGTTGATGCCCTTCTCCTTGGTGCCCCCAGCTGCTGTCTGCTGTGGGGAAACTTTCAGGTTTCTGATGCCCTTCTTATTTTTTCCTCTGATTCACTGGCTACAACAAGACAAAACACGTAAATACTAATGCAAGTGTAAGTACAAAGGTCTCTGCAGAGCCTGACTTCTGCCCTACTTGCCAATAATCCCTTGTACCTGCTGGGAATCAATCACTTCTAGGAAGCTGCCAGCAGTTACTCTCTGTCCTATATACAAACAACTTGCAGATGTGACAAAAATACAGGTTGTTTTGTCTGGATCCTCAGTTCTTCCTCTCAGTCTCTCCATTGCAGGATTTCCTTACCTCTCCCAGTCCTTTCCATCCTGTCAGTGCTCTGGATGCTGCTCTGGGGCTGTGCAGTGCAGGAGCAGCTCAGAGGTGCTGCAGGTCAGGACTCCCCTCTGATGATTCCTGCTGGAGGGCAGGTGCCCACAGAGTGGTGGGCAGTTTTTGTGGAGTCCTCACCCCCCTGAATGTATGCACTGCCAGGTTTTGCTCTGTGAGTTAGTGGAGGAAGGAATGAGAGTCCACTAAAGGACCACATCAAATCCCTCTTTTAGGCAAGAGCTGTTGGTGAATAATTTTTTTTTCTACATCCTACCACTGTTTCCTGCTGCAGAAATACGATGGGATATGGTTTGTAGCTTGGAAGACAGCAGCAGGGCTTTGCCTGAACCCAGATCTTGGCAGATCAGTTGGCACTGGGAGACCAGCCAACCTTTTTCAGTTTTCTGGGACACTCTGGTTTGCCCATGTGATTAAAATTTGCAGTGTTAGATAAACACAGATAAGAATTTATCCATTTCTAATTTGAACAATCAGATAGTGGGAAGACTAAGGAAGCTTCTTTGTTTGTGGCTTCAGCTGTGCTGGGAGTCAGGGCTCATCCCACATTTGAGGAAACTTCTTTTTTTAGGCTGGGGCTTTTGCTTGGGAAATGGCTGTATTCTCCCTGCAGGCAGATCGATACATTTCAGCTCACTGCACTGCAAGTAACTTTTCATCATACATTAAGAACGAGGAAAATAAAAGCCAAGATGGATGTTATTTTGGTTTTGCTTTTATTTTGAATTATTTATTAAGAAGTCACTGCTGTCTTCCTTCTCATCAGGAGACAAAATGCCTTTCTCTAATTTTTTCCTAGTAAAAAAAGCAAGGTCTTCCCAGTTTTATTTCCCTCACTTACTTCTTGGAACTGAAGTGTAAATATGGGGTCTCCACTGCATGGCAAGATGATCTCCTGTGGTCTCAGTGCAGGCAAAGTCCCCACTGATGCTGGAGGAGTCACACCTCATGGTACATTCCTGATCAGTCTCGTAATGTTATAGCAGCTGCTATGTGTGCTAGGAGTGATTGCTGGCACATAAGCAGAGGGTTATAGGTAAACCACAGAATAACTGAACTATAATTTTAATTATTTACTGAACGGGTAGTAGAAATACAAATTCTTTTCAAGTGAATTCTTAATAAAATGTGTTATGGGGCAAAAATTCTGCCATTGGGTCTACTTTTATTATGAGTTTCTATACTCTGATTAATAATCCATTTTGATGTTTTTGTTCCTAAATCTAGGTTATTCTGAAGGGGAGGATAAAGAAACTGGCCACCAAGATGGTAATCACAAGTGGAAATGAAGAAGATAAAGGCAGTCAAGAAAAGGAAAGCAAAGAAGAAACCATCTTGGCCATGCTTGGAATTATTGGGACAATTCTGAACCTCATTGTGATCATTTTTGTGTATATTTATACAACGTTGTAAACTAGAAGGCATGCAAATAGACCAGATAAAACGGCCATTAAGAGTGACAACAAACATTGCTGACTATTGACAAGTTCTTTAATCAGAATTGACTCTGTATTATATTAACACATCATAAAAGCACTGCCTGAAGGCAGCGAAGACTGAAGCACAATTAATTTAACAAGACTTTTTCACAGTAATAAGCTTAACTCTTCTCTCCTGCCCTCTCCCTTTTGGTTTGGTTTTCAGTTTGGGGGAGAATGACTGCAGTTATGTAAGTTGTAGCTTTGAAGAAATCCACCAGGGATATGTTGTTTTAACACAATTTAAAAAAAAAAAAAAAAAAGGAAAAGAAAATAAAAGAAAGGAAAAAAAAGAAAAGAAAGAAACTGTAAACTATATATAATTAGAAATGTATGCTGTATACCCGCAAAGATTGAACTCAAAGATAGCTTCATAGCACAGATCACGTGTCTGTTAGGTCAAATGGTTTTTTCTCTTGGTTTTTGCTTTTACTTACATTGAATCTGACAATCTTTTTATTTAGAATGAACATATGGTGCAATCATGAAAAAAACAATTCTGTTGAGCAAGGTCTGCCTAAACCTGATAAAATGTTGGGAGAAATATAATACATGGTTATTTTTCCTTTCTCATTTGCTTAACATCTGTGTCTGTTCATACCAATGTTTATAAATATATATTTTTAATAAATGTGCTATATTTTTAGCATGAACCAAATATTTGGAGACACTTGTATTCATGCAGCTAAATTTTGTTTGATTAAGTGCCCCTTTTGACAATGGATGTTATTTTCCTCGGCAATTATACAGCAGTCTTGTTTGCAGCCCTCTCACTGAGGTCTGAAGCAAGCTCACATCATGCTCACATGCATGACTTGAAGTTGGAATGTCAGCTGAAAAGCATTGCTGCTTAATATGGGAAATAGCAAAACATTGTAAGGTGACCTTTGGAGACTGGTTGCAGAAAGAAGGCTCTATTTATAGTTAAAACAAGAAAAAGCCAATGAAAGGAACACTGAGGCATCTCACAAAATATTGCAAAATTCATAGAATTTATGGCTTTCACTATCTGGTCACGCTCTCTAAGTACTTGTGCTGAGAGAAGTGAGCAGAGGTTTATACAGTTGAAAAGAGAAATTTATAGAGCCTATAGTGGGGGGCTGAAGTGAAATCCAGATTGTAAATACAAAGTGTATTTTAAATGTGAGGATCATTAACTCTTTACGCTTCTCTGACATGTGCTTTAACTGAGTTGGTGCAGTGAAATTCTCTGACTTGTGTTTTTGACAGGAATGTACAATGATGATGATCACCATTTTTCTTCAGAGTTCAGTACCTATAAATATACAAAGCATTAAAAATATGAGACTTCAATTCTGCCTCAAGCTGCCTAAGTACATTGCCTACTAACTCTGATATATCCTCTTAGAAAACAGGTCAATTAATTGTTTACTGATTTGTGGCTTGGATTGCATCATCAGATGCACAAGGAGGATTGGTATTGAAGTAAGCTAGAGCTGTGAAAATTTTGACCTTAGAATCTTATTAATTTTAGTGATCAGACCTGTCCCTCTGGAATCAATAATGAGTTTTTCACCATTTTCCAGGGTCTAGGAATGATCTCAAAAATACAGAATTTCAGTGCAGGATATAAAAGAAAGGCTGGAAAATCCCAAGGGGTACCTCTTAGTCTCTTATGGTATCATCCAGTCAATAACAAAACCATTAAGAGTAGAAAAAAGGTCAGTAAATAAATTACAATGAAATCCAATATGAAGACTGAAGGAAAACAAAGCAAAAATAATCTCATGTTAATACAAACATGATAGGGTGAGAGAGGTGAGAAAATGAGCAGAGATTTGAAGTAGAAAACAGCACAGAAAGTCAGTGCCATGTATGCCAGCATGGCTGAGGGAACATTTGTGTTTGCACAGTGCTGGTAGAGCTGCAGATCTCAGAGAGGACAAGGAACAATAATGGTGCAGGACAGTGTAGTTCAATGAAGATAATCTTGTTTTTTAATTTATAGCTATTTATTGGTAATTCTAAGGAATCAATCAGCAAACTCTACTTTTTTATCATCCTGATGGCTAAAATATATTTTACTCCACTAGGCATATTTTCTTATATTTAAACTACTGCTGCTCACAGCCTGTGGCTTTGAGCACCTGCACATGCTCCAGGCACCAGCCTGACTTCAGCCAGCCCCTTGCCTGCCAGGATCTTCTCTGCAGATATATTCTCTTGGACTTCTCCTTTTCCAGCAAACACCACAGCAATCTGCCCAAGGCTCATGCTTGTCTTCTAGAGGGACATCCTAGAGTCAAAAGTCTCATGCCAGATAGTTCCTTGCCTCCCTCTGGCTCAAAAAGTAATATCTCTTCTTGAAGGCATGAAGATGCTTAATGAATGAAATTTCATGAGGGGTTCTACTATTGTACAGATTAAAACTCTTCATTGGAAAACAGCATAGGACACCACACCCACTGAAGCAAAGCAGGAGCTTTTGCTGCCCAGCCCAGTTGCACTCACTCAGACATGGGCCAGCACCTTCAGCTAGTCAGGTATGGCAAATAGCCCAAACAGGCTGAAATGGTGGATCAAGGGCCAAAGGATTCTGTTTTCTCAGCTGTGCTTTGCCTGTTAGTCCTGATGGAGGCAGTGTGCCCAGCTGCACTGTCACCCCACACCAGCAGCAGCTGCATGCAGTGTGCTCTGCCACAGGACTTCTATTCCTCTGAAAGAGGAAGAAAGGTTTATCCCATTCCATAAAAAGTTTAACATTTAATATTTTAATTTTACAGGTTTCTGTTCACAGATAGTTCTAGAAATATCCCAGGGCAATTTCTTCTTAAGTAGATTCATTAAGTATTCATTTAAATAAAAATGAAGAGTTTCTTTTGAGGACAATTTCTTTACCTTTTATTTGGTATTCATGAACACTGAGAGGGGAAAAGTATGTTTTCAGGAATGACAGTGGAAGAGGAATATTTTATACAAGGATCTGAAGGTGTGCCCACCCAGGCAGCTGTGGGTAGGCCTGTTCTTGGCTCAGTGACAGTTGAGCCAAATTACCCTCATGCTTTTTTTATGTGAGCAGTTTTCAGCATGCACCTATAAGAAATATTCGACTAGGTAATATATATGTCATGGATACCTTATAGTCAGTAACTGCTCTATAAACAGTTGAATAAAACTTCTCATTACAAGTGTTGAATGGTAAATCTGCTTTGGCAAGGAAAAAATCCAACAGTCTCATTTTTGGCTTGACTTGTATGTAATGCAAACAGTTTCCAAAATAAATTTTAAAAAATGAAGTATTAGTCCATTAGTGATAGGAACTTTCATCTTTGCATTTGAGTAGAAAAAAATTAATATCCAAGATCATAATAAGATATTAAAGCATCACCTTTTGCTTCAGGCAACTAAGAATATGATTACATATCCTATGTAGTTGATGGTCTGTGTCATGGGAATGAAATATTTTTTCATGAGGTGACAGAAAGATGACACTGTCTCCATTATTGTCCGTGTTGGCTGGTGGATACAGAAGAGTTTCAAGAAGGGAGAAGATAAAACTATTTTTTATGCACACAAAGGATTGGGAGAAAGAAAACAGACAGTTTACTGCCGTCCAGTCTGGTTCCTACAGCTGCATTGAAAACTCAGCATCTCGGGAACCACATCTTTATACAGGAATGTATCATCCTGTCTGTTGGCTCTCAGGACAGTCCTTCCAGTTATGTACCTTCTGCTCCTTCCACCTGCACTCTGCAGCAGTGTGTGGCTCATTGTGCCTGAGGAGAGTTTGAGCACAAACCCAGCCTGGCAGATTCTGGAAGCAGTTGTTTTGTTTTACTGTGGTGTAGCAATCTACTATGGGTCTAAGTTTTATTATTTTAAGGACAGTCAATCATCATCATCATATTACTCTCTGATAATCTAGGGCATACTTCACTCTGTGAATTCCCAGACAAATCCCATCCCTGGCCTACAGGTAAAATTTTTATTCAGTAGGCATCAAAATACAAAAGAAAGCTTCAATTACATCACAACCAAACTTCAAGCATTGCTTGAGTCCATGTGTCTTGTACTTCTCTTTATCTGTACACTGGAGCTCACCCCAAATGCCCCAAGATCTCATCTGTGTCAAGAGGTCTCATATCTTCTGAGTCAGAATTACCATTTGTGCGTGAATTATGGCATATACAGAGAACTTGGCCCATCGACGGAAAGGATAAAAATTAACTGAATTAGAACTCCAGGGAGGCAGCACTGCAGAATTTACTAATTAGTTTGAGGTCTAGCTGGAGTACTTTGTTTCTGGATAGTCAATATTGTGGAGAAAAAATATTATTGTTCCTTGGAAAGTTTCTGGAAGAAATATGTCTAATTGAAAAAAAGAACTTCATTGAAAATATTTCAGCAGCAGTCCTCCAAAGAAAACACTGACCAGGACTCTGAGTGACTTGCCTCCCAAGAGAGCTGTTTGGCAGCCCAAGAACACAGTACACATAAATGTAAGCACCTCATATTTACTGAGAGGCTTTGTCTTCTGTTGAACAGAATGCACATATTTACAAAGATTTACTAATTTATGAAATAGCGCATAATGCAACATCAACAACAAAAACCTCTTTGCCTTTATTTCCAGACCCTGCAGAACCTGCACTGCTTCCGTGCCTGTCTGTGTGCTTTGGAGGCTCATCCCAGAAGATCTTAGAACCTCAGTGTAGCTTTCTTTCCTCACCACTGATCCAAGAGAAACAAAACCTATTCAGTGTGGAAACCTCCACACCAGACTGAAATCCCACGTGCTTCCCTATGCATTTATCTGCATATGAACCATCTGGTGTCCAATAAGACTTTCCTTGTCTCAGGCATTAGGTTTGCGTATCTGCATTTCACCTGGGGGCCCAGACTGTGAAAGGCAAATTGTAGAGCTGAAAGCACCCAACTGTTTCCAATGATCCAGCCCTACATAAAGGAGCTGTCACCTGGAGAGTGCCTGTTCAGTGCCTGGCACACCACACACCATCCTCCTTGTGTGCTCTCACACAGACACAGCCTCTGTGCCACCCAGGGGTTAAAAAAGTGTGCAAGAAAAAGTGTTCTGTGCAAAAGCCAGGATCTCAACTCAGTCTCTGTAGAGTGAAAGGCTATCCTGCCTTGTTGATAGAAAGACACTTTGCTATGCCCACTGGGACCCCTTCTGCAACCAGTCCCAGCTCAGCTGAAGATGACCCATGCACCACCCTGAGCCTCTTGTGGCAGCTGCAGAACTTCCCCCTGAGGGAAATAAACAGCTCTGCACTTTTCTAATCTCCTAGGATAGGGAACCATGTCACTCTTGCAGGGCAGAAACAGCAGCAGGAGCATCCATTTCTGGCTGACAATGACAAGGCCACCAGCCTACGGCACTGGTGGGAGCCCTTTTCCCACCCTGACAAATGCAAGTTAATTTCCTGAACTCCGGGTGCTTCTCCACAGACTCAGTCACCATTCAAACTGAGGCAGACTTCTTTTATGATGCTGAGACTTTGTTAAACTCAGATGGCTGCTGAAGCCAAGCCTTCAGGAACATATTAAATGTGATGATGCTTTCATTTGGCCTTGATATCATGAAGCTGTCACCATAACAAGCCTTGGGTGTTGTCAGTCTCTGCCATCAAGGTGTTAAGGGACAAACATTAGCAAGGAGCACCATGTGGGAGCCATTGGCAGCCACAGGTAAAGCACTGTGGCTGTTTTCCCCAACACCTCCCTTCTTGAGGAGCAGTGGTATTATGGTGGATTGATACTGGTGGCTAAATGTAATAAAATGTTTGTGCGGCAGGGCGTGATTTCTCACCATTATTTCCTGAAAACTTGATGGGAAAGTCTTTATAAATAATTCTGGCTTTGTCAATTTAAAATATGGATTAAAATTTACTATATATGTTTTCAAATTTTAATGTGCTGCTTCTTTTTCCCCCCCTACCAAAGAATTCAATTTTAGTTTTGCAGATGCTATTCTTGTTTCTGTAATAATGATGGCTAATGCAAAAGCATTGGTACTGGATGCAAAAGAAAGGAATGAAGATTATATTGTCAGTGTTATATTATTCCATTCTGCTGAGGAGAAAAAGCTAGTCAGTGGTTTTCTTTGCATCCAGTGCACATAGTTAGCAGTATTTTTATAACTTGATACCATTATTTCTGGAATTCTGTGAGACGAAGTTCCATCATTTAGAGCAGTGCATATTCAAACAAATGTCAGCAAACTGAGGAGCATTTGAAATGTTTGCATTAGCTAAAAGAAAACCATGTCAGACGTACACATTTTGAGCAGATTCAAATTCAAAGTGAAACCACATAACTATCATTCTTATACCCCTGCTGACATTGTATAAGACACACCAGGACATAATTTAGAAGCTCACTCTGCTGAGACTATTAATGTACATAACTCAGATTAAGGGGCTAAATTCCTTTACATTTAATATGCATATGAATATGTATTTGCAGGTTTGGGGCATTAGTTGATATTTAGCTGACAATTCAGCTGCAGCAAAGATACAGCTAATCAGACAGGGAAAAATAAGAAATTTCCTGTACAATGAGCTATTTCTCTTTGTCTCATTGACTTATTTTTAGCTGATATTTTTCAGACTGTGTGATTGATGAGAATGATACTAAAGCCAGCCTAACCAATGAAAGAATAAACACCATAGAGGAATATGAAATCTACATTTTCCATCAGAAACTAAGTATTTCCCTAAATGGCTTTAAAAAAATCTCAGTGCTGAATGTTTTACACTTTCCTTTCTGTTTCACCGTCAGCCAACACACTATTTCTATTTGATTGTATAATAATATTTATGTAGAGTTTCACTGAGCTGTGCAAACACCAGCAAATGGATTTTGCATCCTTTGTTGCTTTTTAAGTTTTATAAGCCTCTTTCCAGTACATACCCATCCTCTGTTTTAAAGATCACGAGGAGAAATATATCACATCCAAAAGTACTATTCAATTATGCAAACCTCACTACAAGCTTAGATTGAAAGTATATGACCATTTACAGGGGTGTTATTTCTTGAGACTGTTCATATGGCCCAAGAGACCCTGGTATGGTGCTTCATACAGTATTAGATTCTTTTGGTTTTAGAAAAAAAAAGAGTCCAGCTGTGAAACTTCTTGAACCAGTGCATTTGCAATTTACAGAGCAAGGCAAAAAATCTGATGAGCACAGACAGTGCTCAGCTCCTGGCTGACCTTCTCCCATGGGGCAGCAGCCCTTGGTGTATCCTGAGAGACCAAGTGTTCAGTGCCCTCCACACTTGATGAAAGGCAACAATAGCCAAGTCATTAACATCCCAGATTATGAAATGTCACCATTTTCTGTCTGGTTTCATTGGTCTAGAGGAAAAAAAAAAAAAAAACAAAAAAACAAACAAACAAAAAAAAACACAACAAAAAACCCACCAAAAACAAACAAACAAAAACAAAAACAACAAAACAACAACAACAACAAAAACAAACAAACAAACAAAACCACCAAGCAGTAGCCTAACATAAAACAGAAAAGCAGCCAGTGATTTCTTAAGGTGCTCCTGAATGTCTCTCCTCAAAATACATCTTTTTGGAGAAGTGGCTCTCAGGAGCTTGGCAGCATCTGGTGCCATCCTCATCCCCAGAATTCACCCATGCTTGGACTCAAGTGGCCTGGAAAGACATCTTCCAAAATGGGACCGTGCCATTTCCCCAGAGGATGTGTGATGCTGCAAACCCTTACTCTCCATATTTTCCTGTATGCGCACTTTCCAATAGAATAGAATAGAATAGAATAGAGTACTTTAGTTGGAAGGGACCTACAACAACCATCTGGACTGTCCAAAGGCTACAGCACATTACTAAGGGCACTGTTCAAATGCCTCTTAAATACTGACAGGTTTGGGACATCAACCACCTCCCTGTGAAGCCTATTGCAGTCCTATTCCAGACCACACTCTTGGTAAAGAAATGTTTCCTAATGCCATCTCTGGATCTCCCCTGATGCAATTTTGGACACTATTCCCAGACCATATATCCCAGGGAGAAATGCTTAGTACCTTCCTCTCTAATTTCCCTCCTCAGGAAGCTGTAGAGAACAATTAGATCCTCCCTCAGCTTCCTTTTCTAGAAACTAGACAATCACAAAGTCCTTATCCAGTCCTAATAGGAGCTGCCTCACTTCTTGGTAGAGTTTGAAAAGGGAGCAGTTTTCTGCATCTGTATTCCTCAGACTCCTGCCATCTCCATGTGACAGGGTGAGTGGGAGGACCACAAATGAAGGCTGTGTATCCAGCTGAGAATCTTCTTCTCTAAAATTTGACTCTGTTTGGCTTAAAATTCTCAGATTGTTTAAGGATAATTTTTAAGTGTAGCTCAGCTTCTAAGAGTCACTTATATGATTCTTACTTGAGTTGTGAGCACTCACATGACATGGTGGTGTAAGAATTGCAGTAATGGCATCCACAATTTCATCCACAGTGCCTGGAGTGCTCACAAAGTCTTCATGGAATTGCTGGGAAATTCCCATCATCTCAGAAACTAAATGAGATACAAATGAGATACAAAATGAGATACAAAACTAAAAATCATAACAGAATCATAGAATGGTTTGGGTTGTAAGGTAATTTCATTCCAACTTTTAACTAGACCAGGTTGCTCAGAGCCCCATCCAAACTGGCCTTGAGCTCTTACAGGGATGAATCATCCACAACTTCTCTGGGTAACCTGTTCCAGTTTTCACCACTCTCACAGTAAAGAATTCCTTCCTATCTGATCTAAAACTTGCCCCTTTTCAGTTTTCAGTGGAGGCACTTAGCTCCCCAGTCCCCACCCTGCTGCCCATCCACTCCAGAGGTGTGGGAAGAGAGGTTGCCATTGAAGATTGGGGGGAGAGAGTTGTTAAGTACCTCAGCCTTCTCCTCATCTGTTACCAGATTTTCCAGGGGGATGACACCTTATTTGGCTTTCATTAGTAGAGGTTAATAATTTTAATTTATTCAAACATTGTTGCTTGTCTGAAAACAAAGGGTCCTTACAAAATTAGTGGCAAAAGTAGAATGATGCCATGAAACCTGAGGAAGATAAAGATCTCATGTTATTAAAATACACAGTTAATACCAGCTGAAACCCACTTTTAGTTCTGAGACATCTCTACAATTGACAAATGAGCTCAAAAATTTTGTACAAGTTTTTGTCATTTTGCAGAATAAAGCAAAAGGTCTGAAAACAGTGATCCTTGTGCTCCAATTCCACTGCCTGCAAACTAAATAAAGAAATCAATAGGCATGCAGAGTGTTCCTCCATTAGTCCATGCTTGGTTTCCAGAAGGATGTACTGAAGTGTGGCTTAACAGTAAAACAGAATCTGACTGGTACTTTCCAATATCCTTTCAGATCAGTAAGTTTTTATTTACAGTCTTGTCCCCTGTGCAGAGCACGGATACTCTTCTATCAACCAGATGTTTTCCTCCTTCTGTGTGTCTTTTTACTCATCAAGTCCTGGGTGATAACATTGCTGACATGTCATTGCTGAGAAGTAGTTTTAACAAATTAAATAGCTCAATTGTAAAA